TCCTTCCTTACCTCAGCGCTTTCCGTCGCCGCGCTCTCCGCCATCTTCCTCCGGAGGAGCAGGCAGCGCGAGGAGTGCTTGGTGCCCATGCGAGCCCTCTTCGGAGGGCGCCGGGCAGCAGATCTCCTCGGCCGCGCGCCTCCCCGCCCTTGCCCAGCATCCAAGGCGCGCGCGGCGGAGGCTCCTGCTGATGGATGCTCCTGCTGCTTGGCGCGCGGCTCCTCCCGGGACGGGACAGGAGGACCAGGTGCAAGCTCAGCCCTGCAAAGGAAAAGTTGCACGCGCTGGTCTCGCTGAGCCGGTGCCTCCGTCCCTCCCGCTGGTGCTGCGGCTTCCTCCCCGCTCCTCCTCGCCTTCCCTCGGGCTCCGCAGCCTCCACGGCTCTGGCTGCCTTTCCTGACAAAGTCTCCTGTTGGATGTGGCCCCGCCCGCCGAAGCAAGGAGGCCCTGCGCGTGGGAGGGGGCGCTCCCTGCCTCCCTCGCGCTCGCGCCGGGACGCCTGTTGCTGCCTTGCCTCGCGGGAGAGGAAGCACCACCGAGGCTGGGTTCACGTCAGGCCATGGAAGGAAGCGTGGCCTTGGATGGGGACAGCCAGAACGACCATTCTGCTCGGCAGGTAAAGCACCCTCCAAGCTCCACAGAAGGAGTCCCCAACACACTCCCAGGCAGAGAGTTTAGTCCATCCTCCTGCCAAGCAGGAAAAGCACAATCAAAGCACCCCCGACAGATGGCCATCCAGCCTCTGTTTAAAAGCTCTGTTTAAAAGACCGACCATTCTGCTAGGCAGGTAAAGCACCCTCCAAGCTCCATAGAAGGAGCCCCCAACACACTCCACGTGGACCATCTAGTTCTTCCTCCTGCCAAGCAGGAAAAGCACCATCAAAGCACCCCAGACAGATGGCCACCTAGCCTCTGTTTCAAAGCTTCCAAGGAAGGAGCTTCCACCACACTCCCAGGAAGAGATCTTGAACAGATCTTACAGTCAGGATGTTCTTCCTAATGAGAGGAAGCACCATGAAGGCTGGGTTCACGTCAGGCCATGGAAGGAAGCATGGGCTTGGATGGGGCCAGCCAGACCGACCATTCTGCTCGGCAGGTAAAGCACCCTCCAAGCTCCACAGAAGGAGCCCCCAATACACTCTGAGGCAGGGAGTTGGAGGAGACCAGACGGCCCATTTTGTCCATCACCCTGCCATACAGGAAAAGCACAAGTAAAGCACCCCCGACAGATGGCCTTCCAGCCCCAGTTTAAAAGCTTCCAAGGAAGGAGCTTCCACCACAT